TTTTTTAGATGCAGTGTCACTCTGTCACCAGGCTGGAGTGCAGTGGCATGATCTCAGCTTACTGCAACCTCTACTTCCCAGGTTCAAGCAGTACTTCTGCCTCAGCCTCCTGAGTAGCTGGGACTACAGGCATGCACAACCACGCCCAGCGAATTTTTTGTATTTTTGGTAGAGATGGGGTTTCACCATGTTGGCCAGGATGGTCTCAATCTCTTTACCTCATAATCCATCTGCCTCGGCGTCCCAAAGTGCTGGGATAACAGGTGTGAGCCACTGTGCCCGGCCAAACATTCTTATGTGTCTTTCTGTATTTACTTCTGTTGCTGGCTTATAGGGTAAGTGCATGCTCAGTAATAACAGACATACTGAACCACTTCCAAAGCATTTATACCAATTTAAATTGCCAATTTAATAATTGCCTATAATTAAATTTTGTCTATAATTGCCTATTTATAAATAAATAAAGGGTGCCTTCTGTTTTAACAGGAGCCCTCTGGCTGCTGCATTGAGAACTGACTGTTCAAGAACAAAGGTGGGAGCAGGGAAGCCAAGGGAAAGGTTTTGCAGTCATCCATGGGTGATTGCATGGGGCACAGCCCGGAGGGATAGCAGTGGAAGTAGTGACAGGTGATTGGATTCTGATTGTATTTTAAAGGTAGAGTCAACAGGAATTTTCTGGTGGATTTGAAATGGAGGATACAAAAAGCAAAGAGACAAAAGTGTATGGGAGGCACTTTGACTGATCATCTTTATGGATGGAATTGCCATCAACTGAGATCATAAGACTGCTGGGCAGGTGGTTTGAGAGGTAAGATCCTTAGTTCTATTGGGCATATCACTTTGGAAATGTCTATTAAACATCCAAATGGATATGTCATGGAGGCAGCTGGAGTTCAGGTTAGAGGTCTGAGTCACTGATAAAACTTTGGGAATTGTTGGCAAATGACAGCGTATTGGTCAGAGTCCAATTAAGCAAGAGAAGCTACACATTCATGTGAACAGGAAAAGTGTATATAAATAATTGTTAATTGTAACAGGGCAGTGAAATAACCAGGCACAGACTAATAGGAAGTATAGGAGGAGAAGCTACTAGTCTAGGACTGAGGTAGAGAGCTCAGGAGAATCCTCTCCTCTTTGTGCCCTGCTCCTATACCTCATCAGAGGAACTCAGCCATGTCAGGAAAGTCATTGGTGCTATACTACTGGAACTTTCTAGAAATACTTTTTTAGGTGCTGGGTAAAGGAGCAGTGTCTCAGAAGAGTGATTTTATAACAAAACTGCCTGGAGCTGGTAGGAGGAGTGGCACTTGCTGGGCACTGGCCACTGTGTCCCTGGAGAAGTCACCCATCTGCAGGGGTCAGACCAGGGAGCATAGGAGAACCAGGAACAAAGACTGCTTTCACCTGCAGTCTCTTCATTACCCTCTACTGACAAGACCTAACATCATGTCAGAGGAAAATATTTAAACGTGCCAGTTCCATTTTTGCAGAGCAGGCAATGAAGAATTAGTTTGTAGCAGAGATGCAATAAACCGATAACTGTAGACTGGGCGTGGTGTCTCATGCCTGTAATCCTAGCACTTTGGGAGGCTGAGGTGGGTGAATCAAGAGGTCAGGTTTTTGAGACCAGCCTAACCAACATAGTGAAACCTTGTCTCTACTAAAAATACAAAACATTAGCTGGGCGTGGTGGTGGGCGTCTATAATCCCAGCAACTCGGGAGGCTGAGACAGGAGAATTGCTTGAACCTGGGAGGCAGAGGTTGCAGTGAGCAGAGATCGGGCCACTGCACTCCAGCCAGAGTGACAGTGTGAGACTTTGTCTCAAAAANAAAAAAAAAAAAAAAAAAAAAAAAAAAAAAAAAAAAAAAAAAAAAAAAAAAAAAAAAAAAAAAAGAAAAGAAATTGATAACTGTATTAGTCTGTTCTCTCACTGCTATGAAGAAGTACCTGAGACTGGGTAATTTATAAGAAAAGAGGTTTAATTGGCTCATGATTCTGCAGGCTGTATATGAAGCATGGCTTCTGGGGAGGCCTCAGGAAACCTTTAATCATGGTGGAAGGTGAAAAAGAAGCAGACATGTCTTACATGGTTGGAGCAGGAAGACGACCAGATCTTGGGAGAACTCTATCATGATGAAGCACTAGAGAAATGGTGCTAAACCATTCATGAAGACTCTGCTCCCATGAACCAATCACCTCTCACCAGGCCCCACTTCAAACACTGGGGATTACAATTCGACACAAAATTTGGGCAGGGACAGACCAAAAACATATCAATAATGGATACAGATGGCATATAAAACTGAGACAGAATGAGGTCATCTGGGGAATAAGTATAGACACAGAAGAAAAGGAAACTAAAGGCCGAACTGTATAGCCTCACTCTAAATAGGTTAGGCAAGAGCAGGGGAATCAGCGAAGGCAGTTGAGAAAGAGCATCTAGGGCTGCAGGTGAGTCCTGTGAGACAAATGAATCAAAGAAAGAATAAGAGAGGAGCCAGCGTATGTATTGACCATTCTTTTGTAAAGTTTTGCCGCAAAGAGGAGTGGAGAAAAGGTGCAGGTCCTGGTATAGAAGATAGGGTCAAGACTAATTTGCCTGTTTTGAAGATGAGAGGAATAGCTGCAAGTTGTGTGATGATGAGGAGTCCAGTAGAAAGGGAAATAGTAATGACGGTGGAGAGAGGATAGGATGGATGGAGTGACATGCTGGAGCAGTAAGAGATGATGGAATTCAGCAGTCCAGTCCAGCATTCTTTGGGTAGACACAGCAGTGGTTCATCCACAGTCACAGGCAGGCAATAGGAGGCAGATGGGTGGAGATGGAGGTGGGAGTTTGTGGAAGACTTTTACCACTTCTATTCTCTTAGCAAAGCAGGAGGCAAGGAAATGGGAGGTAGTGGGAAAGATTGAACAGAGGGGAGGAAGTGCAAAATACTCACTTGGAAGAACGAGAGATGGAATAGAACAGGCAAAGTATGATTAAAGTGAAGACTGCTGGCACGGTCCTGTTTTCCTCCAGCCATGTTTAGTTGTATGGTTGTGGCATGGAATGCATGGAGAGCCAGGTTTATCCAGGGCTTGCTTCCATCTTACCAAGCAGATAGGAGATGACAGGGAGGTGGGTGAATTGAGGTGTTCAAGGGACTAATGACAATGATTGGCCATGGAGTTTAAGCTGGCTCACTAGAGAGGGAAAAGTAATTAAGGAAGGAATAAACAGTGAACAAGTAGTAAGACGTGGATTGGAGGTGCTGGTAAGGTTGCAGGAGTTTTGTTTCAGGGCAGTGTACGGAATAACCTGAATAGCTAGGAGGCGGTGGTCAGAGTGGGATACTGTGGGGGTTGCAGTCTTTGGACCTTACAAGGTCTAAGGTCTGATCATGGAGGGAGGGGGAAGCTGAGGTAGGGCAGAGGACAAGAGTGGGCTTCATGAGACCAAACAGATGTTAGAATGATTATCTACCTGGATACTGAAATCTCCAAGAAGTAGGAGGCCTAGTGTGAAGAAGTTACAACATCCTAAGCTCTTCAGGGATAAGGGAAGTTTGCACCATGTGGGTAGCCTCCCTAGTCCAACACTCAGTATATAGTGTATGCAGAGTGAATGCCTGGGGGTTTCAAGAACAAGGTCCCTGTAAGAGGACCTGAAGCTTAGGGCTCTCAGTGACAGGAGTGGCCTGGTTTTTTGGTGTAGAATTGAGCCTTGAGTACACCCGTGGGATCATATTAAAAAGAAACCCACCAAGATTAGAGGAAGATGCATCCTCTGACAATGTATGCTCTGTAGGCATCCCAAGTAGCTGGGCTGGAGGTTAGATGGACTCCAAGGCATTTTCTCAGGTGGGAATGGATGGAGCCCTGGGAAGGCAAAGCTGTGCAGGAAGAAAACGGCCACATGCTGCGTTCCCTCCGGGGAAGCCCCCTTCTCAGGAGCACTGAAGGTAAGGCAGTTTAGGCTGGGTCAGTTTGTCCCTGTCCTCAGAGTCTGTTGGTCCTGGCAAAAGAGGGCCTTATTTTATTTATTTTTCTTTGAAATAGTGTCTTGCTCTCCCGCCCAGGCTGGAGTGCAGTGGCTCAATCTCAGCTCACTGCAACCTCCGCCTCCCGGGCTCAAGCGATCCTCCCGCCTCAGCCTCGAGTAGCTGGGACTACAAGCGCCAGCCACGACGCCGGCTAATTTCCCCCTCCGCCCGCCCCTCAACCTCGAGAAGGGGTCTCCCTATGTTGCCCAGGCGGGTCTTGAACTCCTAGGCTCAGGCGATCCTCCCGCCTGGGTCTCCCAAAGTGCTGGGATTACAGACGTGAGCAACCGCACCCGGCCAAAAGAGGGCTTTAGGGCACCCCGGAACGCGAGATGTCCCTCATCTGTCATCTTTAAAGAGGAGGAAGTTGACGCCCAATCGAGCGATAGTCCATTTCTCCCCGGCACGGTGACCCTGGGGCTGCCAGGACCAAATGTGTCTCCTTCCGGCTTGTGTAACACACCAAGTAACCGGCGCCAGGTCGCACAGCCGCCCTGGCCTTCCGGGAGGACTCCGGTGAGCGCGGTGCACGCTACTGGGAAGTCCCACTGCGGGAGTTGAGGCCGCGGATTCCGAGGGCGGAATCAGAAGCGACGCGGACCCTCCGTACCGCACTGCGTGGACCGCGCCTGCGCGTACACTCAGCCATTCACGACTCGTTCTTCCAGCTCTCCACTGAAAGTCGTCCCCTGGCCGGTTTCTTTTTTCTGCTTTCTTGTTTTCCTCCGGAGAGTCAGCGCGATGGTGAATTTCCGTTTCTGGTTGTTGCCATGCAGCCCTGAGGAGTTGCTATTGTGATCTGGTTCAGTGCCTGGCTGTGGTAGGTGGCGGTAAGGTCCCTGGGTCTTGGGCACTGGGAGGCTCGCCAGTCGTGTGGGTGGGAAGGTCGTTCGTCGGTCCTCCGGGTCATCTTTGCTCCGGAGAATCGACATATTTCGCATCTATGGGACGCGTGCCGGGGTCGTTGGAAGAGTGACGGGACGGGGAGGGAAGGTAGCAGAGAGACATCGTTTCCTAGAGATGGGGTCCTGGCAGGCGACTTAGACCTGAGCCGTATCTGTTAACCCCAAATTGTGCTTTTCCCACCAAGAAGAAAGACAGGGAGAGAAAAACATTAGTACAAGTTCGGAACTAAAATGTAGTAGAGAAGAAACGTGATGTCTGAAATCACACAGCTGTTCACTTTCAAAGCGTTCCTAGTGCCCAGCTCTCCGTACTTCTGACCAGTGTTCCTCGAATTTCTGTTGCTATGTAAAGACTTAATGGGCCCGGCGGGGTGGCTCACGCCAGTAATCCCAGCACTTCGAAAGGCCGGGGTGTGCGGATCGTGAGGTCAACAGATCGAGACCATCCTGGACAACTTGGTGAAGCCCGTCTCCACTAAAAATGCAAAAAAAAATTAGCTGGGCGTGGTGGCGTGCACTTGTAGTCCCAGCTACTCGGGAGGCTGAGGCTGGAGAATCGCTTCAACCCGGGGGGCGGAGGTTGCAGTGAGCCACTGCACTCCATCATGGGACAGAGCAAGACTCCGTTTAAAAAAAAAAAAAAAAAAAAAAAAAAGACTTTGTTTTCGTGTTTCTGCTGGTGTGTGTGCCTGTGGGAAGCCTCTGACTCACCTCCGTGCTCCAGTGCAACCTTCCAATGTAGCCCTTATTGCATGGCACGGAAGTACTACTTTGGATTTCCCTCTGCAAGTGAGATCATAGCTGTATCCATTTACTGATTTACTGGCACAGTGCCTAGCACATCATAGACAGACACAAATATATATTAGATGGAAGTCATACACTACCTTAATTGAATGAGATGCCACCCTGCCCTTTTTTAAAAACAAGCTGTCAGATTTTATGTACCCTGATTTCCTAAAAGAAACTAATTCAGTGATTACCAATTTATTGGCCACAGATTGCCAGGTAGCTCAGAAATCACTGGAACGGTCTCTGTAAGTCCATGGGGCTCCAAGCATCATCTAAAACCAGTCATATCTCACATATACAGATATTGCTATTTTTCAAATGTATGTAGATGAGTTGTACTTTAGGAGTTTTACAGAGTCAACAGGTACTAAAATACTGTGATCATACTGGAGATTCGTAAAAGCGTTTTAGATTTTTTTATTGAAATTTAAGTTTTAGTTTAAGTTAGGACATCACTTCATTAGTCCCATTGATATCTAAGTCTGAGCTGTCCAGTATGTTAGCCACATGTGACCATTTATAGAGTGGAATCAATTAAAAATTCATTTTTTCAGTTTCCCTAATTACATTTTAAGTAACCACATGTGGCGAATGGCTAAATGGCTGAAAAGTACAGATATAGACTATTTCCATCCTTGCAGAAATAGATACTGCTGATGTTGACATTTAAGTTGAATAAAACGTAACTTAACCATAAAATGTAACTTTAGCAGAGATAACTCATCTAATTTATAGCATAACAGAGAGAAATGAAATTGGGGATTTTAAGCAGTTTCTACCCTTGTTCAGTGAACAAATACATGATCTCTTCATAAAGAAATAAATGAAATTTACTTTTTTCCCTGGGAATTGCCTGGATTGTAAAATACTTTTCCCAGTCCTTATCCCAACCTTCTTCCTTGTAGGTTAGAGTTACTTGTTGTTGGTAAATAGCCACTATGGAGGCTAAGGACTAGAAGAAACACAGAAAGAAAAACAGTGGGCCCAAAGCTCAAAAGAAAAAGAAGCGGCATCTGCAGGATCTCCAGCTAGGAGATGAAGAAGATGCCCGGAAAAGAAATCCCAAAGCTTTTGCAGCTTAGTCTGCTGTGCAGATAGCTCGATCCTTTCACAGGTATGTTTAGCTGTAGTCTGGTAGTTCTTCCATTGATTCTTTTTAAATAAGAGGAGCCTCTCACAGGTGACATTTGGATTCAGGAGTCCAGTCCAGCTCAAAAGGACATGGAGATGTGTGCTGTGTGGTTTTCACTAAAATGTGAGAAACTTTCCCACAGAAGCTGCTTTGCCTCCAGTATCTGCACACTGGCTGGTGTTTCTTGCCCAAGATAAATGAATTCATAGAATTTGTTTGTTCCTAAACTTTAAACTGTTTCTATGGTGAAAAGTGTGCTTTTCCCCTCTAGATATGTTTTACGTAGTTGTAATATAAAATATAAAATTTACAATATTTAATACTAATATAGCTTTATTTAGTGAGTCCTTGTGATATGCCTACCAGTGTGCTTTAAACATTTTTCAACTAAATAATTCCAGCAGACTTACCAGAGTAGGAATCATTCTTGCCCTCATTTTATGGAGAAGAAAACTGAGGTCAAGGAAACAAGTTACCTGCAATCATATAACCAGCAAGTAGGAGAGTCGAATTTAACTCTAGAGCTTCTGCTCTTTTCCATTACGATGCGCTGCCTTGATAGTTACCTTTTGGTTTTTATGGAACACTATTAAAATCACTCATAAAACAGTCAGATTTAAGGAGTGTTTAATTTTCAACTGTCTATACTATTGAAGTAATCTTGTTACATCTTATTGAACAGCAATTATTTGGAGGGGGCCAGAAGTTAACAAGCTAATAATTGACAAGTTAATATATTTATATATTCTCTGTTGTACTCCATAAAGTACACTAAAGTACTCTCTGTAAGTATACTAAAAAAAAGGCTACGATACCTTTTACTCTATTTTGAAAGTGAGTTTACTTTTTTTTTTTCTTTTAATGAATAGGACTCAGGATTTGAAGACAAAAAGCATTATATTCCAGTGGTTGATCAAACTCTACTAGAGCCCCCACCAATAGTAGTGATAGTGATGGGGCCTCCAAAAGTTGGAAAGAGCATTTTGATACAAGGCTTCATTCGGAACTTCACTTGGCAGAAGTTGACCGAGATCAGGGGCCCAGTGACGATCGTGTCAGGAGATGCTGCCACAGACACAGTTGGCGTGGCTGGTGTCATCTGACGGACATGCATGTGTTTGTTGTTTTCTTGAGTGGAACATATTAAAGATTGTCGTATCATGTTAATCTCTCTTATGCTTTTACTAAGTTGGCTATAGCTTCAGAAAAGGGTAAGTTCTCAGAGATAAGGATGTGACACACATCTTTTCCTGACTTCCCTATGGCTTTGCCAAGTATGTTCCTTGGAAGGCCCTAGCAGGCCTGGTTACTGTGAACACATCATTTAACAGATACCACGCACCTCCTATGTGCCAGGCTCACATGCTTGCACTTATGAAGCCACATTCTGGGGAAAGTGAGAGTTTTCTCTGTTTTCTATGAGAGTTTGTCTGCTTTTGGAGATGGTGACCTTTCCGAGTATCATGGAAAATGAAACAAGCTTCCAGTTGTAGAATGACAATATATAATCTGAAATCTCTTGTTATTGCAATGATATAGTTGGATTGAGGCTTTTCTTTATCTTTGGAGCATCCATATATATTTTTTTCTTTTTTTGAGACAGAGTCTTACTCTATGGCACAGGCTGGAGTGCAGTAGGGTGATTACAGCTCACTGCAGCCTCAACCTCCTAGGCTCAAGCAGTCCCCCTTCCTTAGCCTCCTGAGTAGTGTATGCCACTATGCCTGGCTAATTTTTCTTTTTCTTTTTTTTTTCCCCTGTAGAGATGGGGTTTCCCCATGTGGCCCAGGCTGGTTTCAAGACTCCTGAGCTCAAGGGATCTGCCTGCATTGGCCTCCCAAGGTGCTGAGACTACAGGCATGAGCCACTGTGCCCAGCCCATATTTTCTTGTCCGTTTTCTTTTTATCTTAATTTATTATTAAGGTAATTATAACTAATTATTGTTATGAATATTCTGTTGCATTATGTTTGAGGATGTTTTTAGCTATAGTGGGAATACGGGAAGTTTTGATAGAGGCGAAGATATTGGCCTGTAGCTGAACAGCAGGATCGTGGTTATCATGGAGCCTGTCCAGTCAGGATTTTCTCTGTATGAGCACTTTTATTCATCTGGTAGACTTTTGATGTTATTTCAATTTAGAACTCAGCAGGAAAACCAGGATGGAATTTATTTTATGTTACCAGTTTTTGCCTATAAAAATGAGCTTCTGGTATACTCCTATAAATGTATATGGCGTTTTACTGGATGCAATTAAAACATGAAAATTAGAGTTGATGGTTAGAGTTTTTTCAGAGTCTTTTTAAAGTAAAATTTTCATCTTTTCACTTATAGGTAAAAGCACAGACTCACCATTATTGAATGTGGGTGTGACATTAACATGATGATTGATCTGGCTAAAGTAGCAGATCTGGTAAGTCAGAGGGGGCAGCCTGTGGTGCTGATGGAGACTTACAGCATTATGTTGGGTTATTTACCCTGTGATGAAGGGAAGAGAGTTTTATGATTATTAAAGGAATCATGGTTTTCATCAGGGATACATTCATGTGATTGAACTGATGATAATAATGATAATAGTAATAAATGTTGTTATATTAATAATAAAATTGGAATGTGCACAATGAAATATATCCCCAAATCTAAAAGCAAATCATAGGATGGAGAAAACCTTTAATGAACACAGCTAATAGGAACTCATTGACATGCATACGTATATATGTACAAATATATTATAGTAAGTACCATTTCTTCTTGGACCCTTCCTGGCACTATGCTAACTGCTTTCTACAAATTTAGCTTACATAAACCCTTGAGGTGAGTTCAGTATTATCTGTAGTTTTCATAAGATGAAATAGAGCCTCTTAGCAGTTAAGTAACTTGTGTGAAGGTGGGACCCTTGTTTCTGATGGTTCCAAAATCTTCATTCTTTATGATAATGCTCAAGTAAGTACATGAATTTCCATGAAGAAGTGGTCAGAGTTTATCAATAGAAAATCTAGACAGCACTCAGTGTATGGAAAACATACACGTGCTTCCATTTATGGAAATGGTAAGGTTCACTATTTCTGATATTCTATTAACTATCTTTTAAATGAGCAAAAATAAAATACAAATTAGAAAAAAATAAGCCATACTGATTAGGAAGTGTGGGGTGACATATATCTTGGTTTTTTCATTTTTATTTGTTTTTTTTCTAGACAGCTGTTTGGTGACAGCTACAGATTTTATACTTTGGCCCAGGAAACTCCTAAATTACAAAGTAAAAAGTAATACAGATTTTAAAGTTGTGTCATTGTAATGTCAGGAAGCTAAATAACATTCAAATTTTGAATGTGTAATGCTGCTGTTAGTAAAAATAAGTGTTATTATTAATGTAGTGTAAGCTTACTAAATCTTGTGCACTTGAAATGATTGAGATAGTTCAAAGAAGTCATTTGTTTCTCTTTTATTTAAAATGTAGCAAGTTTTTAATTTTGAAGACATACATATTAAGAGATGTTGTTACTGTTTTATTTTCAATTATTATGGATACTTAATAGTTGTACATATTTATGGGGTACATGTGGTATTTTGATAGAAGCATACAATGTGTGATGATCAAATCAGGGTAATTAGGATATCCATCACCTCAAACATTGATCATTTCTTTGTGTTAGGAACATTTCAGTTCATTCTTTTAGTTATTCTGAATTATATAATTATAGCCACCCTATTGTGCTGTTGGACACTAGAATTTATTTTATTGAAGTGTATTTTTTTTATCTGTTAACCTTTCCCTCTTTGTCCCGCCCTCCCTGCTATCCTTCCCAGTCTCTTAACCATCATTGAGAGAGATGCCTGTTATGTAAATCTTTTTAAGATTTTCAAAAAGAACACGCATATGATAAAGTACTGTAATTGTAATGCAGGGTCCACACAATGCACATTTTCTTTTTCCCTGCTCTAACTGCTGGTCTCTCAGATCCCGGCAGAGCTGTATCTTTCCAGATGCATATAAACACACACACCACCCTTTAAAAACACAAATAGTAGTTTATTTGACACACTGTTCTGTGCTTTGCTTTTTTCATGTAATATATCATGGAGATATATAATCAGTGAGTACTGTAGTTCTTCCTTCCTTTTTAAGAATATAGTATTCCATTCAATGGATGCACCATAATTTATTTAGCCTGGCTTATGTTGCTTGCTCTGCTCTGGGTTGTCAAAGCCTCCTGAGTATGCAGAGGCACAAGCAATATGTGGATTTAGGTGTGTACATGCGTGTGTGGATTAGGGGAGTAACACTGGCTTAGATGACGAAGATTGGTAGCTGAAGGACTGTTTGCTCCCTGTTCTTCCTGACCCTACAACCAACTGCTTGCACCTTGGCACTCTGTGGCATCAGATGTGGTGTGAAGATACTCCACCTGTCCTTTGAGCTGGTCCAGTGTTGCTGGAGGGCTATGCTTGCTGCCTCGGTCTGCACTGGCAGCTGTGCTTTCTTATGAGCTCACCGGCATATGTTCTGTGGTATCAGATTTTGAATGTTTCTTAGTTTAATCAAAGTTGGGCATTTCTGTTTCCATTTTTTGTTATTTTTAGCTATCTATGGAAAGATCAGAACAGAAATATCTTTAATATTAAAACTAGACATTTCCAGAATTCTGAAATTATTTTGCGTCTTTGAAGGATCTTAAATTTTGAATATTCATCTTATCTGTTTATATTTTCTTATACACTACCATTCATCATAATCTTACTGTTTTTTGACTTAATTCAAAAAATTTCTGAGCCGTTGAATTATACAAATTAACATATAAGATGGAGATTTCCACTGCATACTTTCCAGCAAAAAACACAGTGTTTTTTTTTTTTTCTATGAGGAGACTAAAAAAAGAGGTTGGTTTTCTGTACATATTTAATATATTTCATTGATTATCACTTTTTCCCCATTCTTTGGATATAAGAGACCTGTTATTAGGTTTGAAAGTGTCTTACATAAAACTTCATTTCTTTAAATTAGGATTTCGTAGGGAAGGGCCAGGTTAGACCCAGCCTTTTCTTTTTTCTTTTATTTATTTATTGTTTTAGAGATAGGATTTCTCCATCTTGGTCAGGCTGCTCTCGAACTTCTGACCCCAGGTGATCTGCCTACCTTGGCCTCCCAAAGTGCTGGGATTAGGTGTGAGCCACTGCGCCTGGTGAGACCCAGCCTTTTCTGAGTTACTGCTCATACATTGAAATTCTTAAAATGGAAGTTTATGTCCTAGTTGCCATTGTCTTATGGGTGCCTTTGAGAGCAAATCAGAGAGTGGTGGTTTCTCTGTCTGGCTGATGCCTGTTAGTCATTTGATTTAGTCTGGATTGGGACTTTTCTGTTGAGGGCCAGATAGTAAATATTTTTGGCTTTGTGGCTTATATATCTCTTGCAGCTACTTAGCTCTGCATTTGTAGTGCACAGGCAGCCATAGACAATATGTAAATGAATTACGAGCCTATATTCTAATAAAGCTTTAGTTACAGAAACAGGTGATGGGCTGGATTTGGCCCATAGGCCAGTTGCCAACCCCTAGTGTAGATGGTCTGTTTTGGTAGTTTCTTTGAGAAATGATGTGTTCTGCTGTTAGGTACTGATGCTTATAGATGCCAGCTTTGGGTTTGAAATGGAAATGTTTGAGTTTCTAAACATCTGTCGAGTACATGGCTTTCCTAAAATTAATGAGAGTTCTCACCCACCTCGACTCTTTCAAGCATAATAAGCAACTGAAGAAGACAAAGAAGCCATTAAAACACAGGTTCTGTACAGAAGTTTACCCAGCAGTAAGAGAAATAATTGTTGGATACTAACAGTGTAATACTTTTAAAATAGACTGAAGAGACCAGGTGCAGTGGCTCACACCTGTAATCCCAGTACTTTGGGAGGCAGAGGCGGGCAGATCACTTGAGGTCAGGAGTTTCGAGTTCAGGGCAACGTGGCCAAACCCTGTCTCTAATAAAAATGCAAAAATTAGCCAGGTGTGGTGGTGTGCATGTGTAATCCCAGCTGCTCGGGAGGCTGAGACATGAGAATTGCTTGAATCTGGGAGGCCGAGGGTGCAGTGAGCCGAGATCGTGCCACTGCACTCCAGCCCAGTTAACAGAGTGAGACTCCATCTCAACAAAAAAAGAAAGACTGAAGAGACATTAGTAAGCTTCGCTATAGGATTCACCTCCTAATTTCCTTTGTGTGTGTATTCACAGTCTCTGGAAGAGTTCCCTCAAGAGACTGCTTATTCTGAGCCTCTTGGTGCATCTCATTTGTCTCTGTACCTGCTGCACAAGGCAGTGTCTGGCTGTTTTGGGGTTGGGACTTAATAGAGGATATCAGGAGTTTTTGCAGTTACAGGACCAGGCACTGCCCCTTCCTTTCCATAATGCTCTGGTTGATCGGCCACAGAACCGTTTCTGTGCTCACTTCCCTGTCATCACCATTCTTAGACACCTCTGCTCAGCTGCAGAGCAGTCTGCCTCTGTGGGGTTCTAATAAGTCCTGAAAGAAGCCAGCAAGGCTCTGGAAGCCTCAGGACAGTGGTTTGCTGGAAGTCTCCCTTCTTATGATTGCTTGTTGTTTAGAGCTTTTATTTTGTGGCAGTATTGGTAAGAATTTATTTTTTAATTTTCCC